CAATGATTCTATTTTTATTTATTTATTTTTGCTTTTTGGGTCACACCCAGCAATGCACAGGGGTTACTCCTGGCTTTGTACTCAGGAATTACTCCTGGTGGTGCTCAGGGGACCATATGGGATGCAGGGAATCGAACCCCAGTCGGCCATGTGCAAGACAAATGCCCTACCCGCTGTGCAATATATTGCTCCAGTCCCGAGCAATGATTCTTAAGAAATTATTTTATCCCTCATGAAATACTTTGCTGCCTGGAATAATTTAACAGGGGCCACATCCAGAGATGTTCAAGTGTCTTAGATCACTTACAATGCTCAAAAGTCACCAGGACTGGGGTGGAGTGATAGCACAGTGGGTAGGATGTTTGCCTTGCACACGGCCAACCTGGGTTCTATTCCCAGCGTCCCATATGGTCCCCTGAGCACCGCCAGGAGTAATTCCTGAGTGCAGAACCAGGAATAACCCCTGAGCATCGCCAGGTGTAACCCAAAGAGCAAAAAAAAAAAAAAAAAAGGCACCAGGACTAAAGCTGCTGGTCCAGAGGTTGGTAGTAGCAAACTAGGCATGTGCTCTAACTTCAAGAAATTTTTGATGGTTACAAATGGATGCTATTGGCATCCAATAAATGTTAAAGAATGTTGGTAATGCATGTTATAATAAATGGTAAAAGAATGGTAAAACAATAAGCGGTAATGTTGCTAATGCACAGGAGAAACCTACAACAAATACCTATTTTGCCCAAAAGGTAGTAGAATAAGAGCAAGAGTTTGCCAGGCTTAAAGAAACTTTGGTACATCTACACAATGGAGTACTATGTAGCTGTTAGAAAAGATGAAGTCATGAAATTTACATACAAGTGGTACAATATGGAAAGTATCATGCTAAGCGAAATGAGTCAGAAAGAGAGGGATAGACATAGAAAGATTGCATTCATCTGGGGGATATAAAGTAACAAAGTATGAGATTAATACCCAAGAATAGCTGAGATCAGCACCAGGAGGATTACTCCATAACTTAGAGGCCAGCCGGGTATCCTAGAGGAAAGCGCAGTTCAGATAGAGAAGGGAGCACCAAATAAAGGATGTTTGGAGGATCCTCCCAGGAGGGGAGATGCATGTCGAAAGTAGACTATGGACTGAACATGTTTGCCACTCAATGCCTCTTTTGCAGACCACAACACCCAAAAGAAGAGAGATAACACAGGGGATTGCCCTGCCACAGAGACAGGGGGGATGGGGGGATGGGGGTGGGAGGGGTATTATCCATGGTGGTGGAAAATGGGCACTGGTGGAGGGATGGGTATCTGATCATTGTATAATTGAAACCAAAGCACAAAAAAATTGTAAATCTACAACATTAAAAAAAAATAAAATAAAATAAAAGGGAAAAAAAAATAAACCTAAAAAAAAAAAAAGTTTGCCAGGCTCTCCAAGAGGAATGGAGGAATCGAACCCAGATCGGCCGTGTGCAAGGCAAACACCCTACCCACTGTGCTATTGCTCCATCCCTAAGGTTAACAAAGAGAAAAAAATTTTTTTACTCTGAAAAGATCTGGCAGAATTATGAGAAAGAGGCTTGAGGGCAAATTAAGACAAAGATAAATCAGATCTACAAAGTAATCCCTGACAGAGCAAGAATCAAAGCACCAAAAAGGATGAACTTCATGGTAGAGTACTATAACTAACTAGTCTTCAGTCACTGAAAATGAAGAGGAAAAGGTCTAAACCAATTTTCAAGCACAAATACAGGACATGAACACTTAGAATCAAAGGGGGGCTGGAGCAATAGCACAGTGGGTAGGGCGTTTGCCTTGCACGCGGCCGATCCAGTTCAATTTCTAGCATCCCATATGGTCCCCCAAGCACCACGGGGAGTAATTCCTGAGTGCATGAGCCAGGAGTAACCCCTGTGCATCGCCGGGTGTGATACAAAAACAACAACAAACCACTTAGAATCAAAGGAAATGTAATCTTATTTAGATCTCTTATAATGAGGATATAAGGTTACTATAAAAGCAGACATCAGCACAAGCTGCTTGATGCCTTGAACTCTGATTTATCATTCTTCAAAGAAATATGACTATAATCAGATTTGGGCCCACAGTGAGAAAACAGGTGGGGCTTCACGGGATGGGGGTAGAGCCAACCCTTTTCTCCCTGCCCCAGTGAGACCCCAGGTCGCCACCCACAAAGGGCCTCTCTGGCTCCTGACCAAGCTGCTTAACGGCTATGATCCCAGAGACTTGGGAACAAATCTCGGAACCCAGCAGGTTTAGGCAGAAATCCCTCCAGATTTTATTATTAAAATTTCGGAGTTCCAAAATCGTGTGGCCACTACTGTGACCGCGTGACATCATGTTATTCATAACCAGCAATTGAAAACAAATTGTCTACAGTTGCCTTTTTGGCAGATCTGAGTGTTGGGGTAAAATCCCAAATAATAATGGTGGGTCTGATGTCAAAATATTGAATGTAATCAAAGCAGAGAGAGAGTAATGTGGAAATCATCTGCCCCACAGGTAAGGGGAGGGTGTGTGATGGAGGTACACTGGGGTTTTTGGTGGTGAATGGGCACTGGTGAAGGTACAGGTGTTTCATTGTACGACCAAGACTTAAACCCGAAAGCTTTGTAACTGCTCTAATGGTGATTCAATAAATAAAATGATAAAAAATGGAAAAAGGTGGAGTTCATGCCTAATTCAATCAGCCATTTATTCAGTGGCTGAATAGCAGACCACACCCCACAAAATACTGTGCCACATATACATTTAAATGTATATTCGTCTATTTTAATAATAAGTCTGCTGCTTTACTGTTTTAAAATTATAGATTCTTTGGGAGCACAGAAAGTACAGACAGTACTTACTGTGTATGAAAGCAACCCGGGTTTGAATTCCTCACATCGCATATGGTTCCCCAAATACTGCCAGGGGTCACTCCTGAATCCAGAGTCAGGTGCTTTTACGTTGTGGGAGGCTTGAGTTCATTCTACATGGTCCCAAGCACTGATTGTGTGACTGCACAATGGGGCCCCAAACCTCAAGATAAGTCAACAAAACTACTGAAGGGGCCAGAGTGCTAATACAGTGGGGAGGGCCTTTGCTATGTATGTGGCCAACCAGGTTCGATCCCCAGCATCCCATATGGTCCCGAGCACCAATAATATTCCTGAATGCAGAGCCAGGAGTAATGCCTGAGCATTGCTGGGTGTGACTCAAAATGCAAAAGGGGAAAAAAAAACTAATAAAGATTAATAGAAATAATTTTACTTCACATAGGTGGCTCTTTAGCATTGTTTGTGCCCCATCCCTGTCATTTGGCTACTACTATTGCAGGATGGCCTGCAGTAGCACACACCTGGTTGTCAGTACTCATAGACTTAATTGCAGGATACTAGTGTTCACACTGGATCCCTAATAACAGTGCTGCAGGGTTTGTACTCAGCATGAGGTGGCACTGGGATTCAAACTCGGTGTACCAGGTAACTTCAAGTCAGGTGTCAAATTACCAGTTACTCAAATGTCTCTTCGTTTTTTGGGAGGCAAGCCTAATCTTTTGGGGGGGTTACTCCAGGCTTGGTAACTTCTTGGTGACCTCATGCTTGGGGGCCATATCTCATAATGCTCAGGGGACCATGTAGAATGAACTCAAGCCTCCCACAATGTAAAGCCCAGGATTTGGCCCACTGAGTTAGTTATCTATCCCGTCCCTCAAATGTGTGTGTGTGTGTGTGTGTGCGCGCGCGCGCACGTGTGCTTGTGTTTAACAGTAAAGTGAAAAAGTGGCATATATTATACTTGGGGAAAAAAGATCAGCACCACTGGTAAAGGAATTGGTTTGGGAAGATTTTATGCATAACTTTGTAACTCATGGTGACCTCCCCCTCCACACACACGTACAACCCCGCAAAATAAAGATCATTTTCAACAGAACTAAAAGAAAGCTATAAAAGGAGAGAACAAAAGGGAATGCCCTGCCACAGAGGTAGGGTGGGATGGGGGGGGGGGGTGGGAGGGATACTGGGATCAGTGGTGGTGGAAAATGGGCACTGGTGGAGGGATGGGTACTCAATCACTGTATAATTGAAATCCAAACACAAAAATTTGTAAATCTACAACTACCTCATGGTGTTTCACTAATAAAAATTTAAAAAAAGGCTATAAAGCCCACTCAGAAAGGGATTAATCGCACCCAAGAAGTAGATACCTAATTTAATCCAAACTAAATCAGGATTAAAAAAAATTAAAGCTTAGAAAAACTTTTATAATGCTTCTCAGAAATAATTTTTTTGGGGGAAGTGAGTGGGCAAATCCCAATCAATGCTCAGGAGACCCAGAGCTTCCTCCTAGAGATTCTCAGTCAACTAGGCTGATAGTCCAATGCAAGGGGCCTTGTGCACTGAAAGGTCAGGAATTACCTATGCCACCCTGGCAGTACTCAGGGGCACCCAGAGCTGTACCTGGGGATGCCCAGGGGACCATGCAGTACCAGGGATCACATTAGGGTTGTCTACACGTAAAGCCTGCATCTAAATCCCTGCATTATCTCTCTGGAACTAAAATAAGAGGCTTTTTTTTTTTTTTTGCTTTTTGGGTTACACCCGGCAATGCACAGGGGTTACTCCTGGCTCATGCACTCAGGAATTACCCCAGGCAGTGCCCGGGGGACCATATGAGATGCTGGGAATCCAACCCGGCTTTTGCCACATGCAAAGCAAACGCCCTACCAGCTGTGCTATCACTCCAGCCCCAGAGGTTTTTTTTAATCATTTAATATAGTCACTAAAAGATATCCAGCTAACAAATTTATCACAAATTTAAAGTATTTATCACAAATATACCAAACATTTATAATCAGAAAAATAAAAATGAGCATAACATTTTTGTCCACAGCAAAGGGTGTTTTTTGACCTACATGTTTTACATTTTTAAAGCTTTGTAATAAAAACAAACCAACTTATCAAAATTTTATTTATTCATAATTAACTTTCAATAAGGACCCATAAGTAAACACCAATGCTTTAGCAACTATCTTATGTGAAATGACACATTGAAAACAAAATTTCTCAATAATGAATCACTACACTCCTTTATCCAAGATACTATAAGTTAGACTTATTGGGGTACAGTGCTTGCCTTGCAAAGGGCAGACCCATATTCAATCCCCAACATTCCATGTGGTAGTTGAGCCTGCTGGGAGTGATTTTTTTTTTTTTTAGGGGGCTGGCGGGCACACCCAGTGGTGCTCTAGGGTTATTCCTGGCTCTGTACTCAGGAAATCACTCCTGACAAGCTTGAGGGACCATCTGAGATGCTGGGGATGGAACCTGGGTGAGCCATGTGCAAGACAAGCCCCCTACATGCTGTACTACCTTTCTGGCACCTGTGTGATCCTTGAGTGCAGAGCTGGGAGTAAGTCCTGAGTCCCACTGGCTGTGCCCCATAAATAATAACTAAAAAATGTTAAACTTATTTACAAAAAAAACTAATAAACAATAAAACATTTAAAAGTAGACTGAATTGTAATGAAACTCCCCTTTTCTCTTAAAAAAAAAAGCTCCAAAATATGATAAATACTATATATTCCTTGGGTTTTTTGTTTTCTAACACAATTTTAGTAATTAATTATTCAATCGCTTCTTTAGGTCCTCAAGGTGCTCCACAGTAACATCTTGTAATGCTAGTACTGTTCCTTTAGATAAAGACGAATTAAATGAAATAGTCATTAGGCAGCATAAATCTATCAGATCTCTCTGACATTTCTGCAGACCTTCCAGGAACTTCTGGTATTTAAGACGATCCTTTTTCAATTGTTTCATTTCTGGTACTGAAAATCCTATCAAACTAGTAAGTATTTCATCTAAGAAGTCTACATCTAGATAGGCCGTGCCATCAGAAATTTTTGCTGTTAGACTCCAAATGCCACCAGAACTTGAGAGATTTCCAGTTAAGGTTACAATAAAAGCTTTGACTTTCACTGTTGTAACTTCCTTCAGCTTGCGAGCCATTAGAACAGACAAATAGATAAAAGGTGGTGAAAACAAATCCATGGCAATAGAAATATTAGTACTAGTCTCTGATGATCTTAAAGAACAAGTCTGCAAATGGTGATTATTTTCGTTAGAAATTTGTAAACTCCTTTTTGATACAGAACTTACCAGTTCCCCACTTATTATTTCATTATTTAAGGAACATCCACCATCTGACTTGCTGGTATTTTGTTTCATTTTATTGTCTGTCTCTTTGTTCTTATCTTTATTTGTAAAATCAGAAGATAAGGGTACCACATGAGTTGAAAAACTGTTGTTTTGATCTCTAGAAGATGGACAATTGAAAGTTTTGTCTCCATCAGTCTTTTGTTCAGATACTTCTTTATTTTGACCATTTCCATTTTTGAAACTCAAAGAAAAATCATTCAGAGTATTATTACACTTATGAGAAAATCTCTCCATATCTTCCTCTGTATTTCTGTTAAAAGTCATTGGCTGCAACTCTTGAGTCTCCATTTGTTCTTGCTGGACAGTTTCTTCTAAAAGCAAGGCTTCCTCTAGTGAAAAGTCATCTAACTCTTCATCAATAACGTGCATAGACTGATCTGGTGGTTTATCCTTTAGTCTAGAAAAATTAACAAGTCCTGGTTCAAAACTTGACTGTTCTGGGGAAACACTATTTGCGAAGCTACCTATGTTGAAACATTCTTTTCCCACGGAGGTATTATTAATTGCAACAAGCTCATCACTTTCTTCAAGACTTGCCAAGAGTTCTTCATCAGAAGGTCCAAAGGCAGAATCTAGATTATCGGTATTTCTGGGGACACTTTGGTATGAATTACTTGGTATGTCTGAAACTGTAGAATCAGGTTCCCCAATTAATCTTGCAAGTACTTTTTCTTGGGCATATTCCTCTAAAAGAGTATCTACTTCACCTCCCAATACTTTTACATTTTCTGACTTTAGTAAGAGAACACCAAGTCGAAAAGAAATGTTTCCATAAATCAAAATTTTGGTGCCTGGAGAAAGATCACTATGAAGAGCTGGAATAGACTGATATTCCATTCCCTGTATTTGTACAATCCCATCGGTAAGTTGTAACATCAGCATCCGAGAAGATTTTGCTTCCCAAGGTTTTTGGGTAACTTGTGTTTCAGCAGTAATTAGCTCATTAGTTGTATTCTTGCCTCTCAGCTTCTGTATTTGGGAATATGCAGGCTGACTTACGTCAACCAATGAATTAATCTGTAGTGCAAAAAATCCATTCAGTTCTCCTTTGGGAATTTCTAAAATGCCGTCCGGTAAAATAGGTTGCTCCAAATCTCTCAAATCAGTTAGGAGCCACTGTTCAAACACTTGTTTATTTATCTGTGCTTGGCTCAAATTAACATTATTGTTTTCTTCTTGGATCCAGTTAATACATGCCTCTAGCCACATAAGAGGTACTTTAATATGCCAGGTAGCTGAAAGCCAGGTTTCAACTCTTCCTGCAATAGTAGTTACACTCATTTCTTTTGAAGATCATGCATTACCTAGAAATAGAAAAAAAATCATTCCATTATATATAGAAAAGTACAGTTTCTATAACTCTCTACAATGTATAAACGGAAATGATATCCTTTTAAATTTTCTCTTTACAGAAATTTATTTTTTTATTTTTTGCTTTTTGGGTCACACCCGGCAATGCACAGAGGTGACTCCTGGCTCATGCACTCAGGAATTACTCCTGGAGGTGCTCAGGGGACCATATGGGATGCTGGGAATCGAACCCAGGTCAGCCGTGTGCAAGGTGCTCCAGCCCCTCTTTACAGAAATTTAAAATTCTGACTTTCTAAGCCAAAATTCAAATACTCCAATTGATTGTAAAGCACAATGAGAAAAGCCTAAGATTTGAGATATATATATACATATATATGGTTGAAAGCTATCTATGTCAAATAACAATCTAATTTACTATCAACTTTTAAACTTCTCTGACCCAGTTTTTTCAAATCTGTTAAAATGTCAATAACCTATGTATATTATAGGATTGTTGTAAGGATCAAGTAAATATCATGTCATGTATGCTAGACCCTTAAAAGACAATTAACTGTAGCAATTACTTTATTACTGTAATTAAATCATCCTATTATTTAGTTGCAAAATGATATTCAAGTACTGGGTAAGGCATTTGTCCTGCATGTGGCTAACCTAGGTTCGATGACGTACATCCCATATGGTATCCTAAGCACCACCAGGAGTGCTCCCTAAGCACAGAGCCAGGAGCACCACCAGATGCACCTCCTCCCAAAATGATATTTACTAAAATTCTTTTTGAATGTTTGGACTCTATAAAAATTGGTACCATTGCTGTTTCCACCCAAAAGCTCAGTGAAAAGTCTACTGTTTGTATCAGCTAAATTAAGACCGTGGCCTTCTGCACATCCCTCACGGAACAAACTTTGGTCTCCTGTACTGAACTCATGCATGAACAGTTTGGTTACCTCCATCCATACGTGCTAATATTCAGTCAACCCTAGCTCCAACTACCATTCCCACGCAATCTTAAAAGGTAACTGTGGTAGCTAGGATCACAAAAATCTTAAGTATGGATGGAGAATGTAAAGGGTCAATGACATTGAATACCTCCTAGAACGAGCAAAAGAAGCTCTAAAGACCTAAAACAAAAAAATTAGCTTGGAGATTTTTGTCAGATTGAAGAGGACATCAACAAACTGCACAAACTGCACTCCCCCCCCCCCCCCCCCAGGGCATTAAGGAGGGAAAGACTACCACAGACTGCAACAGTACATTTACAGACAAAATGGTAAGAATGTTTATTAGGCTCAAAGAAACAGTGGTATAGATAGGCAAAAAAAAAAAAAGTGTGACAAAACAGAATCAGAAATAACAATTAAAAACTTGATAGGTGAAATAAAAGACTCAATGGAAGGACTTAGCAGCAGAGTAACAGCAGCTGAAGACAAAAATCAGTGAGATCCAAGATGAGATGCAGGAAATCTTTAGACAACATCAGAAGATTGGAAGACTCAAAATAAATGCACAGCAGACAAGAGAGCTTAGGGATGAATTCCAAGAGGAACAACATAAGAACCCTCGAAGTTCCAGAGGACTAAGGAAGCAACTTTAATAAAGAAGTGTTGGGGGGATGGGAGGGGTGGGAGGGATACTGGGATTGGTGGGGGTGGAGAATGGGCACCGGTGGTGGGATGGGTACTCGATCATTGTATAACTGAAACCCAAGCACAACAACTTGTAAGTCTACAACTGTACCTCATGGTGTTTCACTAATAAAAAAAAAAAAGAAAAAAGAAGTGTTGGGGGTGGAGCGGTAGTACAGAGGTCAGGCATTTGTCTTGCACATGGTTGACCTGCATTAGATCCCCAGCATCCCATATGGACCCCAGAGAACTGCTAGGAGTAATTTCTGAGTGCAGAACCAGGAGTAAGCCCTGAGCATTGCCATGTGTGACCCAAAAAGGAAGGAAGGAAGGAAGGAAGGAAGGAAGGAAGGAAGGAAGGAAGGAAGGAAGGAAAGAGTTAGGGGACTGAGAGATAGCACAGCAGGTAGGGAGCTTTGTTCTTTCTGATAAGTGTCAGTCTCTCTGGTATGAAATGATATCTCACTGTTGTTTGGGTTTGCATTTCCCTGATGATGAGCGATATAGAGCATTTTTCACATGCCTTTTGTCCATTTATATTTCTTCTTTTAGGAAGTTTCTATTCATCTCTTCTCCCCATTTTTTACTTTAACTTTTAATTAGCACTGCACTGCATTGTCCTCCAGTTGTTCATCGATTTGCTCAAGCGAGCCCAGTAACATCTCCATCGTGAGACTTGTTACTGTGTTTGGCATATTGAATATGTCATGGGTAGCTTGCCAGGCTTTGCTGTGCGGGCTCAATACTCTCAGTAGCTGGCCGGGCTCTCTGAGAGGGGTGGAGGAATCGAACCCGGCTCAGCCGGTCCGGCTGCACACAAGGCAAATGCCCTACCACCGTGCTATCGCTCAAGCCCAACTTTTAATTGAAAAATTAAAATCATATGCTTATAGCAATAATTCAGAGAAATAATTTTATATGATCTAGCACCCATTCATGATTTAAAAAAAAAAAAGACTGCACAAAATGGAAGTTGAAAGAGTTCTCCTAAACATAATCAAAGCCATTTACTACAAACCCTCAGCAAATTTTATATACACAAAGGAGAAGAACAGAAAGCCTTCCCTCTCGGATCAGACACAAGATAAGGTTGCCCACTGTCACCACTTAACTATTCAATATGATATTGGAAGTACTTCACATAGGAATTCAGCAAGAAAAAGATAATAAGGGCATCTAGATAGGAAAAGAACTCAATTTCTCACTTTTTTTTTTTGCTTTTGGGGTCACACCTGGTGATGCACAGGGGTTACTCCTGGCTCTGCACTCAGGAATTACCCCTGGCGGTGCTCAGGGGACCCTATGGGATGCTGGGAATCGAACCCAGGTTGGTTGCGTGCAAGGCAAATGCCCTACCCGCTGTGCTATTGCTCCAGCCCCAATCTCTCACCTTTTGTGGATGACAAGGTAAAGGTAAAGGTAAAGGCCCTCCCGTTGATCGTCGATTTGCTCGAGCGGGCCCAGTAACGTCTCCATTGGAGACTTTGTTGTTACTGTGTCTGGCATATCGAATACTCTCGGTAGCTTGCCGGGCTCTCCAAGAGGGGTGGAGGAATCGAACTCGGGTCGGCCATGTTGGCCGCGTGTAAGGCGAACACCCTACCCGCTGTGCTATCGCGAGAGCACAGCAGGTAGGGCGTCTGCCTTGCACACAGCCAACATGGCCAACCTGAGTGGATGACAAAATACTAAGAAAATCCTAAAGAGGACAAAAGGAAATGGAAACACATCCCCTGCTCATATATTGGGTGAATGAACAGCATCAAAATGGTAATACTTCCCAAATGTGGGTTTTTTTTTTGCTTTTTTTTTTTCGGTCACACCCTGAGATGCTCAGGGGTTACTCCTGGCTCATGTACTCAGAAATTACTCCTGGTGGTGCTCGGGGGACCATATGGGATGCTGGGAATCGAACCTGGGTCGGCCATGTTGGCTGCGTGCAAGGCAAACGCCCTACCTGCTGTGCCATCACTCCAGCCCCCTAAATGTGTTTTGACCTCGATATAAGACCAGAATCTATAAGGCACATAGAGAAACACCCTGGCAGAACCTTCCATGACATTAAAGCAAGAGGCACCTAAGGATGAAACACCACTGGCAAAGCAAGTGGAAACAAAGTTAATCAAATGGGACATTAAACTAAGAAGCTTCTGCACCTCAAAAGAAGCAGTGAGGACCAGAGAGATAGACCAGTGGGTGAGGTATCTTCTTTGCACGTGGCCAATTCAGATTTGATCCCAGCATCCCATATAGTTTCCTAAACATGGCCAGGATTGATTCCTGAGAGCAGAATCAGAAGTAATCCCTGAGCATTGCTGAGTGTGGCTCAACTCCCCCATCCTATCCCCCAACACAAACAAAATTATGAGCAGAACACACAAATAGTCCACAGATTGGGGAAAAACTATTTGCCCACCACTCATGTAATATCCTACATATATATATATATATCACAAACAAATCTTATAATCTTATTGTGAGATATATATATATATATATAAAGTACTTATAGAACTTTACAAGAAAACCACATCAAACCCCATCAAAAAATGGGGAGGAGTGATGAAAAGAAATACAAATGGCCAAAAGGCACATGGAAAAACACTCTATATAACTCACCAGGAAAAAATGCTCTATATCACTTATCAGGGAAATGAAATCAAAACAAAAATGCGATAGCATCTTATAACAGAGACTAGCACCCATCAAAAAGAACAACAACCAGTGCTGGTATGTCTGCAGGGCAAAAGTCAACTCAAAGTGTTTCAGACCTTGAGATCAGAGCAAAACCTACCAAGTACACTAAGGAAAATGTAGGCAGAACATTCAAAGATTTGGACCTCGAAGGTGTCTTAAATGACATGCCATTGGTAAAAGTCACTGTCCTGTTGTTCATCAATTTGCTCGAGTGGGCCCAGTAACATTGTGAGACTTATTACTGTGTTTGGCATATCAAATATGTCACAGTAGTTTGCCAGGCTTTGCCGTGCAGGTGAGATACTCTCAGTAGCTTGCCAAGCTCTCCAAGAGGGGTGGAGGAATTGAACCCAGGTCGGCCAGTCAGCAGCATGCAAGGCAGACGCCCTAACAACTGGGCTATTGCTCCAGCCCATTATTAAAGGTAAGAGAATAAAATATAAACAAATGGGGGCCGGATAGATAGTACAGAAGGTACTTGCCTTGCAGACAGCCAATCACTTGCTTTGCAGGCAGCCAACCTGGGATCAGTACTTGGCGTCCCCTATGTTTCCCCCAAGCCCACAAGGAGTGATTCCTGAGCCCAAAGCCAGGAGTAACCCCTTAGCACTGCCTGGTGTGATGCCGAAACCAAAAATAAATAAATGAGATGACATCAAATGAGTTTCTATATGGCAAAAGAAACATGGGTTAAACTAAAATAGAGAATATCTATTATCAAGTTATTAGATAAAGGGTTGTTATCAAGGATAAAGTACTTACAAAGTTCAACAACAGAAATTCCCAAGATGATATCAAAAATAGGGAGATGAAATGAACTGGCACTTCTCCAAAGACAGATGGTCAACATGCACGTGAAAAAGTGCTCAACATCACTTATTGGGAAAATCCAAATCAAGATGACAGTGAAATACAGCAATGCATGATCATAGTGGAATACTACTCAGTAATGAAAAGAAAACTATGAATGTTGCTACAGACTATGTCTCACTCCAAAAATTCTTATGTTGGAACCCAAATACTCAATGTGGTATTTAAAAAATGTAGCCTTTGAAACTCTCCACTTCTGATGCTTTATAACACTACCATAACAAGGCAAAGAAAACATTAAAATGAGGTCCAGACCGCCCCCTCCCCCCAGGCTGTCTTCATGGAGACAACTTGGAAGGTGGCAGGTTGAGTTTCCTGCCCCACCCCAACAGAGCCCTGGCAGTGAAAACCTCCAGAACTAAACTCACCACTGCTCTCCACAGGCTCAGATAAGCCTCACCCCTGAGGGAATCTGCAGAAAAACCAGGTGTGCAGGACCCATGATTGAAATCCCACTCTAGCTCAGAGCAAGAATGGGCCTCTTTCCCTCATCTCCCAAGTTTATCAGTAGCTTGGCAGTCACACCCACAAACTGCCCCCTGGTACCATATAATCACATCAACAGCATGATCCAGAGACTCATAAGTAAAGCTCCCAGAAGACAGCAACATAGCTTCATTCATAAGTGAATCTTCTGTATAACCATGTTCTAAATTTTAGAGTTACTAGACCTCTTGTACTCTGTACCACTAATGTACCAAGCTTTGGGGGACACGACTTGGGATTTGGGGTGGAAACATTAGAAATATGGTGGTGGGAAGGTGCAATGGTGGTGGCACTGGTTTTTGAATATTAAGTTTAATGAATTATTGTGAACAACTTTATAAAAATAAAATTTAGAGAAAAAAGAAAAAATTAAAATGACCAAAAGATAATTAAAACATTTTTTAAAACACAAGCAAATGTAATAAGACACTAATTGTATAAGCAAACACCCTAATAAATCTATTCTCAAATATTTTACAAAAAGGTTAGCAATTTGGAGAACAATGTATGAAATGCATATTTGCTACATAAAATTCTTTCTTTGGCACCAAAGTTAGGGCATATTGATCTGAGACATGAACAGTCCCCACAATCACATATAACAATTGTAATAAAAGGTTCTAAGTATAATAGGATATTTTCCCCTACAGATATGAAAGTTTATTGAAATTCTGATTAGGTTTCAATAACCAAGCCTCTTAATAATTTAGCAAGTTTTATTACTTGCAGCTAGCCTTTCGTAAAATTAAGGTTTCCATTCGTCCCTTTCTTGAGAAATTGAGTATAATGCCCACAGCACATAGAAACAACTTAGAAGGAAGCCATCAACTTAGCTAAGCTAGCACTCCCTCCTATCTGCTCAGACACAAAGAAGAGACCAGACTTATTTTTCCAAGAAGAGAAAACATGATACGCTTTTTAAAGTTGTGCATTAAATTTTTTCATAACATATAATTTACATTTTATCTTCCAAAATTAATCTTAAGAAACCATGCAGAAAAGAGGCCAGAAATCTGTGTCAATGATAAATGTATCATGTAGTGAGGGGGAAATAAAACAGAACTGACCAAACGAGATATATATATACATATGTATATTTTTTTTATAAATCTAAAAACATCACACTGGATATACGAAATAGGTGGCTCACAAATGAATCTCAGAACAGAGCAGCTCGCTGCAGAGATGTCTTCGGACCTTGTGCTAGGATGATTTCAAAGGGGCGCCTCAGAAAGGAGTTGTCCCTACGCCTGCTCCAAATGAACCCTGAGGTCACAAACCTCCAGGACCCCGTAGCTACCATCCTCATGGCTGATCTTCACAGGTTCGTCCCCAGCCTCCCATGCAAGAGACTGAATGTGTTGAAAAAACCCAGGTATGCGGGACCAGTGACTGAAAACTCCAGGCCTCAAGGAGCCAGGAATGGGCCGCCTTTTCCCATCTCCTCACCCTTCCAGGATCCTTCCTGGTTGTCACGCCCATGAACTGAACTCTAGGTGCTATGTAAGAGCATTAACAGCCATGATCCAGAGATTCAAATGAATCTTGAAACATAGCTTGCTGCAAAGATGTCTCTGGACCCCAATTATTTAAAATTTTAGAATTTCAGGAGCATACTTTTTTTCTCTTTTAACTTTTCCATTGAATCACTGAGATATACCCTTACAGACATCTCATACTGTTCATGAAAAGCAATACAAAATACTGCTAGTGGGAAGGTGTAATCGTGGCGGGACTGGTGTAGAAATAATGAATGTAATCAATTACTGTGAACAACTTTATGAAAATAAAAATTTTAAAAAAATTTGAAAAAGAAATTAAAAAAACTACACATATCTTAATCCCATTAATTTTACAATCCTGAAAAAAGCTTTAGATTTTGAATTTTTATGAGTGCTAAATCTGACTGGTCACAATAATCTACATTTTAGGCTATGATTATTCAATTCTCTAATGCTTTCTAATTAGAGAACTGAATAGAAAAACTGATTCACCAGTAATAATTTAGCTGTTTTTTCCCCCTAAGGCTTTACTCAAAGGCAAAGCCCTCAAAAAACTAGTACACGATGGGCCTTCCGTATTTTCTCTTCACAACCTCTAACTTACAGAAAGTTGTGAAGAGAAAGTAACTTCTACATAGATCTAGACATGTTTGTAAATTTTCAGTCTCATGTATTCCAGTTTAAAAAAAAACAGCAAAAAAAGCCTTTTGGACACTGTACATGGCATTCAACCAATATTTAAAATCATAGTCACTCGGTCCTTCTTCCACTGTTCATCTACAAAGTTGGAATTTTAATTCGAAAGCGATGACTTTAAAGTTAATTCCAGAATTTTAAGACAACCTATAGAATTTGAAGGGAGCCATTTATATTTAATTACTGAAATCTGAATGAAGTAGTAGGAGCCAACAGCAATAACCGCACACTTTGAATGTGGGCAACAGGGTTTGATCCCAGCACTACATGACCCAGAGAGTAGGGGAGCTTCCAAGCGCAACTATCTGCGAGAAACCTCTAAGCACCACCATTTGTGGGCCCAGTGCATCCCCCTCCCCCAAAAAAGTAGTAATAACTCGTTTGTCCTTAAGTTAATGGAAGGAAAAGAAAAATAGTTTTAGTTTATCTCACCTCAGCTATGTGATAGGTTTTTAACTTCTCTTAGTTTTAATTTCTTTGCACCCTACAAGCAAATGAAAAAGAGAAAAGGTGTCTAAAGAAAAAAAAAAAAAACCAACCAACCAGGGTGGAAATGTAGTGGCACTGCCCAGGGGAGTGAGCCCTGAGCACTGCAGGGTGTGGCCCCCAAACCAAACCCCACCCCACCCAACCCACCAACAGTGGCCTAGAAAATAATGAAGGGCTTTCAGTCAGGTAACTGGCAAAAGAAAGTGAAATATGCAAAGTGTTGTTCCTGGACTGGCCTCATCACGCTCAGCAGTATCCACTTCCATGCCTATTGTTATTAGTGGGGCACCCTTGGCTTTAAATGACAACCTTTAATTATATGGGTGCAAACCTGGATGCGCTAAACCGATCTATAACCCAGGACAACAGTTTGTAAACATTTCATTAAAACGTCCGCGGCAGCCAGAGTGCGTGCGAGTTTCTCCCTACAAAATTAAAATGTGCGCTGTGGGGGTCACCCGGTAGCCGAGCCCGCCCCCGCCCCCGCCCCCTTCTCGCCCAGATGCCGACCGTCCTCCCTGACGGCTTGTGCTCCATCCACTCTCCCGCGAGTCCCCGGCTCCCAGCTTCTCGGATCAAGCGAGGGGAAACTGGGCGCAGGACGCAATCCCGCTCGTTAACTGCAAACACCTGGCTTGCCCTGTGTCCGCAAGGGAAGTGGCGGCAACGACGGCACCGACCACAGATCGGTCACGTTAAACCTGTCGGGGCTGTTCGTGGTGGGCAGTGTTTTGAGTCTGCGGGGGCTTGAGCCCCCACGGACGCTGGTGCTCTACTACAAGGCGACACCCGGGTGAAAAACTGGCTTCCGGGGCCCTCTGATGTCCGGGAGAGCGGCCGCACCCGCGCGCCGACGTTTCCTTAGCCCGGGGTCGCTGCAGTTACCCGGAGCCCCGCGCGCCGCGCGGCAGCCGGGCCCTGCGACCCGCACGCCCGGGGCACACGGCGTTCCGCGCCGCCCACGGCCCGCGAGCACGGCTGACGCGATCAGGAGCAGCCAAGGGCCGGGCCCGCCGGCGGTGCAGTTCACGATGCGGCCGGACCCCGAGGTGCGCGACGGGGTTCGGCTGAGCCGCCCGGGCGGGGCGCGGGAACCGTCCGGCGCCCCGACCCGGCAGCTCCTCCTCAGAGGCGCTGCGGCCCGACCCCGGGCCCAGGCGGCGGGCTCCGGGCTCGAGCGGACGGGCCGGGGCACTTACCCGCGCGCGAGGCGCCCTGCAGTCCCGCGGAAGGAGGGACCCGCGAGCGCGGCCTGAACGCTACGGGGACTTCGTCGAACCCAGCGCCGACCCGGGCGTCCCGCTTGATTGGCCTGCGCGCCACCGCGGATCCCGGCCCCCCGCGCGACCGACCGTGCGGAGGGAACCGCCGCGCGCCGCAGCGCCTAATTCCGTTGAGCCGCTTTCCCGCCTCTTTGGCGCGCGCTCACGCCCCTCCGCCAGCGCGAGACACTCTCGCTCTCCGCCCCTCCCCCCCGCCCGGCGCGCGTGCCCGAGACAGCCTCTAGTTCTCGCGAGACACTTTCCCCTCTTCCCCCACCGTTAGTGAGTGCGCGAACGAGAGAGGAGGAGGGCGCTCCAGGCGAAGGCACTGCGGACGCCATTATCCTCGATTTCTCTGCGGCACCGACTCCGACGTCCTGCTGACGTCCCACTTGTTGGCGGCCTCCAGGTACTTGGGGTGACCGGGGAGGGAGGACTGTGGGTTCGGGAGAGCGCGCGGCCTCCCTCGGGCGGCCTTGACTTTCGGCGAGGCCCGGTTTTTCCGCCCCCCCCCAACCCCCCCCCCCAGGCCTCGGCGCCTGAAAGGGAGGCACCGCGGGAGGCGGGGTCGGCGCTGCTGCCGACTCGGTAATTGACGGGGCCGCGGGCCAATCGCTGAGCCGTCGCACCACCGCCGAAGCTCCAGCGGCCAATGGGGCGCGGCGGCGGGGTAGGCAGTGCGGGAGGCGGGGGCAGCGGCGGGGGCCTGGGCTCGCTCACTCGTCTGTCTGACCGGCCGAGGCGGCGGAGGGAACGGCGGCCGCGCGCGGTGAGGAGCGGGCCGGGGGGCGAGAGACGGGGCGGCGAGGGTCGGGAGCTTTTGTCCAGCCGCGGGAGGAGGCGGCGGGGGGCTGCGGGGAGCCGGCCGGGGCTCCGAGGGGGAGCGTTGCCCGGGCTCCCCTCCCCCCACTCCGCCATTTCCCCCAGCGGCCGGCCGGTCCGCAGTCCGCCCGCTGGGCTGGGGGGGAGGTTCCGGGGACGGCGCGGCCTGAGCCTGGAGGGCGGGCTGCAGTTCCGGGGAGCCGCGCCCGCGGTGCGGGCCGGGGCGGGGGGCCGGCTAGCGGCTCCGCTCCGCGGGCGCCCGGGATGGCCGCCCCCGCGTGTGGGGCCCGCCGCGCTCGGGGCCGGGCGCGGGGGCTCGGGCGCTCGGGGGGCCCTCCGTTGCTTTGTCTCGGCGGGTGGGGGAGGGGGCGAGGCCGCGGGACCGCGTGGTGGGTGGGGGAGGGGGTGGGCGCTCGGCTCCGCCTCGCCGCGCGTAGTCGCCATTACGCGGGCCGCCATTTCCTGCCGGCTGGCTCGGCCGCGGCGGGCGGCGCGGGGCGACGGGGGTTTGCGCGCCGCCCGGGCGGGCTGCATCTCTGGCTTGGACGGTTTGGCGCGTCGGCTCTTTGCGCCTCTTCCCGCCTACGCCTCGGGAGACCGGCCGAGAGGCCGGCGTTTTCGGTTCGTTGGGAGGAAGGACGGACGCTTCGGGAGAACGGGACTTGCAGCCCTGGAGCTGGGCGCTCTGGGCACTGGCTCTCCCCCTCCTGGGACGAAGCACGCGGCTCCTCCCCGGGCGCCGCTGCCCCAAACCCCAAGCCCTGTAGGTAGACTTCCCCCCTCGTCTTGAATCTGTTTTGGGGGGGGGGAAAGCCCGCCAACTAGTTTGCGAGATTCGGGGGCTTAACGTAGACTTGAGAAGCGCTGGCCATCAGGCTTAAGCGTGGGCTCGTGAAAGTCCTCGCCCTGGCGTTGGCCGGGTTATCGCACTGGATTTGAATTTGCAAGCTGTTCCGATTTCAAAGACGACTTGTGTCATCAATGGGGAAAGTCTCACACGCGCTTTGGATTTTAGAGCTAAAACTGCAGTTGTGTAGCTTAGGTTCTTTGTTAGCTGAAATAGAATTAAGATTGGTAGACTTGCGACTTTATAAGCCTTAAGGTTGCCCCCATGCATAAGATAACTCAATTGTTGAGATACAGCCAGTGGATAAGTCTTTATAAGGGAAAAAAATAAAACAGGATTTCCTCATGTTTTTTTTAACAAGAAGGATCCTTCCCCCCCCTCAAGCAAAACTGATTCATGTTGGTTTTTATAGGGTACTGCAACAGTAGGGTATCAGTTGGTCCTACCCAGAACAGTTCTTCTCTGCGAGGATATTTAATACCTGGTACGTTGTAGAAGCGGAATCGTTGCTTGCTTAGCAAAGTGCATAGATTATATTGGGCCAAATGCACTAGCCTCTTTAATTTTTTTTAAAAAACAGATTGGTGTGTCCATTTAATACAAGAAAATGGAAACTGAACAGCCGGAGGAAACCTTCCCTAACACCGAAACCAATGGTGAATTTGGTGAGAAGATATTTTATAACTTCTTTTGGTCCCCCCCCTCCAGGATTTTACTGTTCCCTGAATGCTATAAGTATCTCTTAGTTTGAACTACTTTCTGCACTATCTTGTTAGGAAATAAATTTGAAGGAAACGTTCTTGAAGTAGTACATTTAATGTATATCTTTGATCTTCTTGGAAGTTACTAAAAAAATCTCTTAAACAGTGTAGCTTTAACATATCCTATGTCTTAAAATTGAGATGTAATGGAGTAAAAGTTCCTTTATTTTCAAGGATGTGCTTGCTTTTTGAAGTCTGAATCTTTAATTCTAGGTAAACGCCCTGCAGAAGATATGGAGGAGGAACAAGCTTTTAAGAGATCTAGAAACACTGATGAGATGGTTGAATTACGCATTCTGCTTCAGAGTAAGGTATAAATTTTCTTCTTGATTGTACCTTTTTAAAGGATACACACTAAGGTGAGATCGTATTCCCTTCGAGAAAGCCTTCATCTTAGAATTGGAAAAAAATAATGTAATTGTGTGGTTCTTTCTGAACATTAGTTTTTCCAATAATTAAAATTTAAGATCCCTTAGTGTAGGGAGCCACTACAGATTGAACTGGAATGATGTATATGTTAAATCGATTTACCTTGATTACACTAATTTCGTTGGAAATGAATCGGGCAGCTTAGCACAATATGAAGATATGTGCTGGTAATTGTTTTACGGTAGTTACTATTAAACTGGTGAGGGTTTGTTGCTCTGCGTATTTCTCATAAGCTTGAGTAGAGAAGGCTTTGTCTTTTGCGTAGTCACAGATTATGTTGACTTCCCAAATTGAGCCCAACAAGTGGAAGAAGTACTTGCTTAGTTTCTTTCTTTTTACCTTCTCCAGAATGCTGGGGCAGTGATTGGGAAAGGAGGCAAGAATATTAAGGCTCTCCGTACAGACGTAAGTATTAGAGAGTTCAAAATACTACAAAAGCAGCTTCAGTTTGTGTTTGTAAAAAAAAAAAAGTAAAAGATTTGCATCCTAGAAATCATTTAATAATCTAGTTTTATGCCATTTTGTAGCAATTAGATGATTTCAGGGTTTGTTGTTCCCTATTTAACAAAGCCCATATTGAGTTCGGGGTGTTTATCAAACCTCTTAACTCGTTTTCTAATAACTTCCCTAAATACCATTTCAAACAAGATAACATCTTAATTAGTTAGGAATAGCCAAGAAAATGTGAAAACCCTTTATTGAACCATTTCTCACTTGTGTGGTCAATTGCAGTATTGAAAGCCATTGGTGTTAACGGATGAGATCCAAAAGGTTTATTTTGTTGTTGTTGGTTTTTTTTTCCTTTTATTTTTTTTTCTTCTTTTAGTTGTCCATCTGTTCTTTAACAGCTTGCTTGTGGAAGCACAAAGAAATTTAATGTTGAGATTTATGATAGAATTATGGATGAAGAGTAGGCACCGAAGAGAGGGAAAACCTTTTGTCACTACCTGCATTTGAGTTTTCATATTATAGTGGGTTTTGACTGGTGGTTAGACATTTTAATAATGTTGGTATCGCCAAAAGTTACATATACAGGACTACAATTTTTTCTCAGTGTACACAATTCCTAATGATTTCTTGCTAAGTTGAGGCAGATAATTTGGTGTTGGAAATTTATTATTTGACAGTATTTCGTTTCTCTCTTGGTCACAGATCTTTGTTCTTCTTGTAAACTGAAAACTGAACTTGTAACAGATTTGAAACTTTTAAAGTTTACAAACTTGCCTTGTTAGGGCATAGGAATGCGCTTTAAACCTCCAGGAAACTAGTCAAGGATTAAGGAATTTGGTTGTGGGAATTTTTGTTTTGTCCTTTTATGATACCCTCTCCTCTAAATCCAGATGCTTTGTATAAATTAATCTGGGTTGTTAATTATCCCGTATCCTCAAGAATATCAGTAAACTGAGTCATGACAGGTTTTATGTCTACCCTCATGAGCCAGCCTGCTACTGAAACATCGTTTGTTTATTTTTTTGTTTTTGTTTTTTGTTTTTGGTTTTTTTTAATTCCTGAAAAAAGTACCATCATTTAAGGTCCTTATGCTAAGCCACGTTCAGATTTTAAGAAGTCCATTATTGTGTTAGTCTTCAGAACAACTTAAGCTTGTTTCATTAATTGAGAGTATGAGTATAGTTTGTATTAAATTAAAATTTATTGCTTTTCCCCCTTTTCCCTCTCCTTGTTTTTTTGGCCATATATCTCCGTTGCCCATGTACTGGATCGACTTACCCCTGCGTTGCCCACCATGACGTTGGCCCATCCGCCCCTGAACGCCCATGTGAAAACCCTGGTTGGCTATGCCCAAAAATGTGCTCGTTGCCAAACGGGTACCATACTTGACAACTTCTGATTGAATGCCCATGCCCAATGCCAACATCCACGAACGCCAATGACCAATGCAGTACAATGCCAGTGTTTCAGTCCCAGACAGCAGTGGCCCCGAGCGGTATGTCCCAACAGTTTATGCCTCACTGCCTGATTAGAAAGAGAGAAATGTATTTTATTACCTGCCTTTTATATAATTAAATAGTATCCCCTTTAGACGGTGTATTGTTTTTCAAGTTTCTGTCTTATTTTCCCCATTAAGTCTTTTTGTCACTGAACTTTTACCGTGAGTTGCCCACCCAAACGATCCACTAATTTTATTTCGATGGAAGGAGCACAGCTTCAAGTGTTGCATATTTGCTGCATT